CTGGGCTGTGGGCTGGGCTGGGGGCTGGAAAAGCCTGGCCAGCTCTTGCCACCTTTGCATACCCGCAGCCCCTCCATCCTCCAGCCGCCTTAGTCCTGCACTTGCCAGCCTTCAGCACTGAGCGGCCCACCATGGGGCTGCCAGCCAGTCTGGGCTGCCAGTCATGGAGGAGGGGCCCTCCCCACCTGAGGGGCGCTGGCCTCTGGGGTGACAAATCACCCTTCAGGGAGGGCCAAGCAGGCCTAGGCCCATGGGAGCCTCACCACTTTGTGGGGAGTACGGTCTCTTGGGCCCGCAAGGCCCCCTGGGGCCCTGAGGTGGCCTGGACTGACCTCAGCAGAGGGAAGCTGAGGACAGGCCGCTGCTCTGTAAGTCACGTGGTCCTGGGCCACACACCTCCCCCACCCTCGTCAGCCTTCCTCTGCGTGGTCGCGTGGTCTTCGTCTAATGTGGCTGACCGGCCCTCTCCCCGCCCCTCCCCAGCCCCGCCTCAGGAGTCCCTGGGCAGGGTTTATCTCATCTGCAGAGTGCGGCTTCTCTCCAGTCTCCCGGCTGCCACTTCCGCCCCAAATCACTGCCTTAGAACAGGTTTTCTTTTTCCTGAATGCCAAGTTTCTAGGCACAGATTTCTGAGGTCTGGGTGGAAACATCCTCCCGGCCAGTCTGCTGAGGACCAGAGGCTCAGCCCTGGCGGGCTCAGGGTGCCCAGGAATGACCCCTACAGGGGTCGCTGTGGGCTGGATCCTGGACGTAGCACAGCCTCACTTGCTTTGGCTGCTAAGATGTGTGGGAAGCCCGGGCCGGAGGCGCCCGCGTTGGCGCGCACCGAGGGGCTCTGGGGCCGGCCGTCGGGGACCGCCACGCGCGTCTCTCTCCCCAGGGGCCTGGATCATCACGGGGGGCTCCCACGCGGGCGTGATGAAGCAGGTGGGCGAGGCGGTGCGGGACTTCAGCCTGAGCAGCAGCTACAAGGACGGGGGCGTCACCACCATCGGCGTGGCCACCTGGGGCACCATCCACAACCGCGAGGGCCTGGTCCACCCCACGGTGAGGCACCTGCCCGCTCCCGGGGAGGGTGAAGGCCGTGGGGGCTCCAGCACCATCTCCCTGCCCGTATGGAAGGAGATGGAGACTGCTAGCCTGCGCTTTAAAATCCTTCCCGTCTCCACCCACTGCTCAGCTCCCTGACACCAGCCTCTGTGTTCCTTCCTCTTGCTGTGAGATCACCACACACCTTAATGCATCAGAGATTCCTTGAATCACATTTCTGGGGGGTCAGGGTTCCAAAATCAGTATCAGGTGGGTGGCAGGGCCCCGCTTCCTCCAGAGGCTCTTTGGGAGCCTGCTTCCTGCCCTGCCAGCTCCTGGGTGCTCCTGTCTGCAGCGCGCTGGCCTTGGCCTCCGCGTGCGTGTCCCCTGCGCCCTCCCGGGAGGAGGCTGCGGACGGCGTGCTCGGCCTGTCCCCACAGTTCAGGTTAAGCTCGTTGCGTGAGTGCCCTTCCTCGCACCCGCAAGGCCCCTTCTCCTTCTCCAGGCAAAGTGACATGGGAACGCCCGGCGCAGAGCCTGGCGATGCACACGACAGACCTTCCTCCCTAGCGGGGAGGCCCCGAGCCGCCCCCCTCTGACTCCCCGGGCTGTCCGCAGGGCGGCTTTCCCGCTGAGTACCTGCTGGACGAGGAAGGCCAGGGGAACCTGACCTGCCTGGACAGCAACCACTCCCACTTCATCCTGGTGGACGACGGGACGCACGGCCAGTACGGGGTGGAGATCCCTCTGAGGACCAAGCTGGAGAAGTTCATATCAGAGCAGACGAAGGAGCGCGGAGGTAAGGGGTCAGCGCAGCTGCCCCTCAGCGCCCCGCGCCTCCGCGGGGCTGTCAGCATCCTGACCGCAGGCTCGGGTTAGAAACAAGGACGGATGGCAGTCCACTCAGAGCTGGCCGGGCGTGGTAGCCTGCACCTGTAACCCCAGCCAGCTGGGAGAGGGAGCTGGGAGGATGCAGTTAAAATGTCATCAGAAAACAAGGTCAGGTGCTGGCGGCTCAGGCCTGTAACCCCAGCTACTCAGGAGGCTGAGAACTGAGGACTGCAGTTCCAAGCCAGCCCCACAGGAAAGTCCCTGAGACTCATGTCTGTCTCAGCTACCAGCACAAAACAGGAAGTGGAGCTGTGGCTCAAAGCGGTAGAGTGCTAGCCTTGAGCCAAAGAAGCTCAGGACGGCGCCCAGGCCCGGAGTTCCAGCGAGTATGTTCTTGCTTGAGCTGGCCCCATGCGGATGGGCTGTGCCCCTGCTGCATGAGGTCAGCCGAGTTTGCAGAGAAAACCAGGTGCCACAGTGCTCTGCTGCGGGGAGAAGACGGGCTCTAGGAGGCAGCTCTGGCCATCCGAGGCCCTCCCCTCCACAGCCCGTCCTTCCCTGTCCTCCACAGCCCGCCCCTCCCTGTCCTCCCTCCCCTCCACAGCCCTCCCCTCCCTGTCCTCCCTCCCTTCCACAGCCCTCCCCTCCCTGTCCTCCACAGCCTTCCTCTCCCTGTTCTCCCTCCTCTCCACAGCCCTCCCCTCCCTGTCCTCCCTCCCTTCCACAGCCCTCCCCTCCCTGTCCTCCCTCCTCTCCACAGCCCTCCCCTCCCTGTCCTCCACAGCCTTCCTCTCCCTGTTCTCCCTCCTCTCCACAGCCCGCCCCTCCCTGTCCTCCCTCCTCTCCACAGCCCGCCCCTCCCTGTCCTCCCTCCTCTCCACAGCCCTCCCCTCCCTGTCCTCTAGTTCTCTCCCCTCCCACAGCCCCCCTTCCTCTTCCCACGCCCCCCTTCCCTCGTTCCCAGGGAGGTGATGGGGAGAGGGTGGGGCGCAGGTGAGCGGGATGGTTGTGGCTTGGTGTCCTGCGTGCTCTCTTAGGTGAGCAAGGTGTCCTCAGGTGGACACTGCACCCACTTCCACTGGCTGCTCCTTGTCTGCTGGGCATCCCAGTGGTGCTTTATGTGGGCCCAGCCTGGTGGCGGTGGGGTGGGCAGTGGATGGGTGGTAGGGAGGGCAGTGGGGTGGGCAGTGGGGGGTGGTAGGGAGGGTGGGCAGTGAGTGGGTGGTAGTTAGGGTGGGCAGTGGGGTGGGT